CCCAGGTTTTCTGATAAGGGGGCTCAGTGTTATTAAATAGATAACAGCTGGACTGGAAGAGGTCCCAGCCTTTCTGACAAGCGTTACACACTCTTCCTGAAACAACAGAGACCAACATTTAAACAATGCGACTGTATTGTAATATTTTTATTAGTGGTTATTTCTGGGCCTGTTTAATGGGATCTGAACATACCATTACTTTCTCTGGGGCAGTAGGCATCAATGCTCCACTGAGCTCGACTGATGTTGAGCTCATTCGAGTTTCTCTCCATGTTTTGTATTTGTTGTGTTAAGTTGTTCCTCTTCAGATCCAGGTTTTCTGCAGTCAGGTTTGTGATCTTGCTCTTTAAGACAGCAGAGGCTTGTGTCAGGTTGTCAAACTGGACTCTAAGATTTGTGTAGTTTCTCCTCAGGTTTTCGTTGTCTGAGCTGAGCTTGTTGTTGAGGTTTGTCAGGTTGGAAGTGAGAGCCAGTAGGGTCGTCTGGTTGCCCACCAACAAGTTCAGCTGCTGGTTTTCTGCAGTCAGCTTGGTGTTTTTTTCAGAAATGACAGAGGTAACTACAGTGACAGACAGAGTTTGATAGTTTTGACTATGTAACATGTTTCACATCATTAAAACAACAATCAGGTTCATGCTCAGTATATAAAACATTTAAACTTCAGGCTTCAGGTGGATTATTTGACTTGTAGTTATTTATAAGCTCAGCCACTTTCAGAAGTTGAACACTAAACATCAGTGGGTTCACTTGTGTTTTGAAAAGAATCAGATTAGTTAAATTAATTCAGTTCTGGATTTAAACTGAATGAAATGCTAAAACCTGAACTGTGATTTCAAAAGACTGAAGTTTAGTGTGTTTTCATTGTGCTTTATACACACACCGACTGTTTAATGTTAAAATTTTACTCTTTAAAAAAAGATGCATACAGTAAATATTTCTTAAAACATAACTTTCTTCTTAATTTGTGTTTGTGCTTCTAAACATAAATGAAATTATAAAGTCCTGGTTATATCATCTTCACATTTTTCCCCAGGACCAGTGTGAACGGGAGGAATGATTGCACCAAGAAAACACTGTTAGGATGTCTACATGGATCTGGCTGTTGTTCTCAGACAGACTAACAACAACGAGCTAAGAAGAAAAAGGCTTTGATTTGAGCCGACATTCATGAAAAAGGGAACTCACAGTAGATCCTGAGGGCCACAATCAGTACCAGCGTCAGCCAACACACTGCTAGTGGTGGAAGAGACTCGGTGAAGGAGGGAAACTTCTGACCTGGAGGGAAAAGAACAAACTCAGTTAAATGATGTGATTTCACACAATCAGAGCCTCGTTGTATACATGTTTAATGAACTGTTAAACAATCACATGTTCACCTTTTGTTACTGTCACATATTTTAAACATCATGACTGATAAATAAATCTCATGCTTAACACTAATAAACGTGTGTATTGTGTTCATAAAGTACCTGAAGCAGCGTCTGCTTTATCCACGGTGCAGGCGTGCATTAACATAGTTGTCTATTTCCTCGATGTCCTCTGAAAGGTAGATAAATCAGACCGATTCCCAATACACTGCAGAAACTATGATATAAAACCTGGATTTTATAATCAGTGCCATCAGTTCAAGAACAGTTTTCTGACAGTCATGTAAAAGCAGAACGTTGTCTTCACTGCCCTGCTACACAAAAAGGTGACAACCTTGTAAAGTTTCAGTGGATGGTAAAGTGTCTCACCTGCAGGTAAAGAAACATTTGGATTTTTAAAAGTAACAGCTGTCGTCTTTGTCTTTCTGTCCATTCTGAAAGACGTCCTGTAGCAGGGCTGTAAGGGAAGGAAATGTGTCACTGTCTCATATTTATGTGTAGTTTTCAGTTCTGCTGTGAACTTGTGACAACTTCTTAGTTGGTGGCCGATGCTGATGTTATCACAGGAAGCCTCCTCCTTAAACATGTTCAGCTACAGTGTGTCTGTAGTATCTTCTCAGCAGCAGGTTAATAATAATCTAACATCTTCCTGCTTTGTCACAGCCCAGACTCAGTGTGACAGATGCCACAGAAGTTAATCATTTAAACAACAATGTAAGAAATGTTTTACTTGAAACAAACAAAAGCAGCATCATAACAGACACCGTAGGATCCTAGTAGACTGAGGATGAGACCAAGCAGCAGCTCCTGCAGATCAGTGTGTCTCTAAACATCAGGAGCACAGAGGAGAGGACGAATGATTGTAGAGGACCTGCAGCTCTAAACAGTGGAGACCAAGGGCTTTAGCGAGCCACTCACTAGTCCAGCAGTATGTGAAGCTATTCTAATGGTTTGTAGCCTGTTCATACTGAGGTCTGCTCATTAAGTAGTCTGGATTTAAAGGACACAATTACAAGTTTACAGTGAATGAATGTCCTTCATTCTAGGAATGAGAAGGCTCTGTAAACATTAGAACTGCACTAGAAAAGTAGACTCATGGATTCGCAAGATTAATATTATTAAACAAAAACATGAATTTGCTTCTCAGGGTAAAAACAACAAGGAACTGTTACCTTGACATGAAATATTCTTTACTGTACATCAGGATCCAAATACTTCTAACAACAACTCCAGAACCATCTGAGTAGTAAGTAATGCAGCTCCCTGTGTCAGACACTCAGCAGCAACTATATAAGATGCTTCAGAGCATTTGAAGGAAAGCACATTCAGAGTTATGGACAGTTCAGTGATTTATTTTCAGCCACATAGACAAAAAACAAAGAGCTTTGAAAAATGACTCATATAAAGTAATTTTTCCACGTGTCTGTGAAAAGCAGTTCTTTAAAATCATTATTTCTGAAAAACAAACATTTACATTGTGAAATAAAACTCTTCATTGTTTATTTATGGGCCAATTATCTTACATGTAATTAATCTAACCATGTTTCCAGAAACATGGTTAGAAATATTTTCAGTGAAACTCAAGGAGAAGCAACATTAAAAACAAATATGTGGTAGCTCCAGTGTTGAACATATGTGTGGTGTTAATGTGTCAACGCAAATCGATGTACTCTGCTGCTACACTACATGTTTAACTCTGTATTAACAGTTTTCACGGGTCTCTGGCTCATTTGGACTCTTGACTTGTTTGTAGGGACGCACGATATTTTGGTGGCTGATGTTTAGTGGCAGATAAGTACAAAAATGTAATAAATGTTATTGTTCTGATCATTTCAGCTGATAATTACGTCTCATAATGTGACTGTGGAGAAGGGACAGTAACTGTTCCCCTGTTTCTCCTCTGTGTGCTGACGCCTGTTTACAGACAGAGAGCAGAGGACACAGTGGAACAGGAAACAGACTTTACTTTTCTGTTATACTCTTTATCTCAACGTGCACCAAATCTGCCTGCAATATAAACTGTATGAGCGATTAAACAAAAACCTATTGAACAAACAGAAAATATTTTTGCAGAAATGTGACATCATTTTGTTGCCTACACTACTCAGATACAATCTGCTCATTAATTAGTCTATACTATACTTAAAAAAACACAAGTTAACAATGAAACAGTTTGAGCAAATAAAAAAAGGTCTATAGCATGTGGTAGCATTTTATTCACTATAATAGAGTTAAATTTAAATTTGCTTCTCAAGGTAAAAACAACAAGAAACTGTTACCTTGACATGAAATATTCTTTACTGTACATCAGGATCCAAATACTTCTGACAACAACTCCAGAACCATCTGAGTAGTAAGTAATGCAGCTCCCTGTGTCGGACACTCAGCGACAACTATATATGACGCTTCAGAGCATTTGAAGGAAAGCACATTCAGAGTTATGGACAGTTCAGTGATTTATTTTCAGCCACATAGACAAAAAACAAAGAGCTTTGAAAAATGACTCATATAAAGTAATTTTTCCACGTGTCTGTGAAAAGCAGTTCTTTAAAATCATTATTTCTGAAAAACAAACATTTACATTGTGAAATAAAACTCTTCATTGTTTATTTATGGGCCAATTATCTTACATGTAATTAATCTAACCATGTATCCAGGAACCTTCTCAAGTCTGACTGCAGTGTTTAAACAGATAAAGCCTTCTTCTTGCAGAGCCATGTGTATTTTTCACTACAGTTCACTGCTTTCCATACGTTTGTCTTGTCAGAAGTCACACAGAGACCGTTGGTAGGAGGTTGTTGTATCCAAGAGCTGAGGGAAGAGGCTGATGGTTAGATCAAGGCTGAGAGATTTTATGATTCACAGTGTTTAGGATTGTGTCTCTCACCTTTGAGTCAGATTACTTCCATCGACCCACTTCCATGTCCCTTCTTCAGCTCTCAGGCCGATCCAGAATCTAATGGCTGAAGATGAAACCCATATTTTACCATTGATGAGGCCCTGAGAACAGCACAGACACACTTGTCAGTGACATGTCAACACTATAAACACACTGTGATCTACAGACTCAGTGTGTTCAGACTGACAGAAAATGCTTTTTAATTATTCAGCCCCTTTACTTTCAGTGCAGCAAACTCTCTCCAGAAGTTCAGTGAGGATCTCTGAATGATCCAATGTTGACCTAAATGACTAATGATGATAAATAGAATCCACCTGTGTGTAATCAAGTCTTCGTATAAATGCACCTGCACTGTGATAGTCTCAGAGGTCCGTTTAAAGCGCAGAGAGCATCATGAAGAACAAGGAACACACCAGGCAGGTCCGAGATACTGTTGTGGAGAAGTTTAAAGCCGGATTTGGATACAAAAAGATTTCCCAAGCTTTAAACATCCCAAGGAGCACTGTGCAAGCGATAATATTGAAATGGAAGGAGTATCAGACCACTGCAAATCTACCAAGACCTGGCCGTCCCTCTAAACTTTCAGCTCATACAAGGAGAAGACTGATCAGAGATGCAGCCAAGAGGCCCATGATCACTCTGGATGCACTGCAGAGATCTACAGCTGAGGTGGGAGACTCTGTCCATAGGACAACAGTCAGTCGTATACTGCACAAATCTGGCCTTTATGGAAGAGTGGCAAGAAGAAAGCCATTTCTTAAAGATATCCATAAAAAGTGTCGTTTAAAGTTTGCCACAAGCCACCTGGGAGACACACCAAACATGTGGAAGAAGGTGCTCTGGTCAGATGAAACCAAAATCGAACTTTTTGGCAACAATGCAAAACGTTTTGGCGTAAACGCAACACAGCTCATCACCCTGAACACACCATCCCCACTGTCAAACATGGTGGTGGCAGCATCCTGGTTTGGGCCTGCTTTTCTTCAGCAGGGACAGGGAAGATGGTTAAAATTGATGGGAAGATGGCTGGAGCCAAATACAGGACCATTCTGGAAGGAAACCTGATGGAGTCTGCAAAAGACCTGAGACTGGGACGGAGATTTGTCTTCCCACAAGACAATGATCCAAAACATAAAGCAAAATCTACAATGGAATGGTTCACAAATACACATATCCAGGTGTTAGAATGGCCAAGTCAAAGTCCAGACCTGAATCCAATCGAGAATCTGTGGGAAGAACTGAAAACTGCTGTTCACAAACGCTCTCTATCCAACCTCACTGAGCTCGAGCTGTTTTGCAAGGCGGAATGGGCAAAAATTTCAGTCTCTTGATGTGCAAAACTGATAGAGACATACCCCAAGTGACTTACAGCTGTAATCGCAGCAAAAGGTGGCGCTACAAAGTATTAACTTAAGGGGGCTGAATAATTTTGCACGCCCAATTTTTCAGTTTTTTATTTGTTAAAAAAGTTTGAAATATCCAATAAATTTCGTTCCACTTCATGATTGTGTCCCACTTGTTGTTGATTGTTCACAAAAACTTACAGTTTTATATCTTTATTTTTGAAGCCTGAAAAGTGGCAAATAGGTCGCAAAGTTCAAGGGGGGCGAATACTTTCGCAAGGCACTGTATAGCAGCCAAATCTGAAATTAGTCCTCTGTATTTGTCTTGAGCTTCTTCCCAGGTTTTCTGATTAACGGGCACACCATTATAAAATACATAACAGCTGGACTGGAAGAGGTCCCACCAGGGTTGACAAGCTCTACACTGTCTTCCTGAAACAACAGAGACCAACATTTAAACAATGTGACTGTATTGTGATATTTTTATTATTGGTTATTTCTGGACCTGTTTAAGTTGTTCCTCAGTGTCTTCAGATCCAGGTTTTCTGCAGTCAGGTTTGTGATCT